TTACAATTATGTAAGCTTTGCAACGGCAGAAATAGGAATTTACATTTCAGCCTTCAAAAAAGCCAGCTTCCATAGGGTTCAGTACTATACTTTTCATTTTATGATTTTGTTTTTTTTTTCAGTATAATTTCTAGATCTCTAAATCAGTTTAGAATGCTTGATTCTATTCTTGGTTGATAGAATGATTATCGAGCATGTTCAACTATTTATATCCAAAATAAGACTGATTTGGAACAGAGCACATTATGTATTTGTTTAAATGGTAATGAAAGGAACTGTTTGATCACTTCTGGGTTCTGGAAGGTATCTCTTAGAATTTTAGGGAATCATGGGGGACGGTTGGTTTGACATCATGTTTAATGCTATGCCTTATTTCACCTTGCCACTTCAAAGTTGGTGTTGGTGTTAGGAGATCTGCATATCCCACACCGGTGTAACAGTTTGCCGGCTAAGTTCAAAAAACTCCTGGTACCCGGGAAGATACAGCACATTCTCTGCACTGGAAACCTTTGCACCAAAGAGAGTTATGACTATCTCAAGACTCTGGCTGGTGATGTCCATATCGTGAGGGGAGACTTCGATGAGGTGATGTGTCTCCTGTACCCCCACCCCCACCCCCTTCTCCCTTCTCCTTTCCCATTTCCCCTTTCCTGATTCTTATGTATACAGACTTTATCCTTTAGGCCAAAGTCTACCAACTGCTAAGGTCTTTTTCTGTTTTCATTTTGTTCTCTCTTTGAAAAAGTTTTCTAAAGGCCTGGGGATATATCTCAGTGATAGAGCACAAGGCCTCCAGCACCACAGAGAGAGAAGAAAATGTTGGTATTTTTGAAGAATATCAAAGGTTTATTTAGTAAAGTAGGACAAAGCAGGGAGAAAGGAACAATCTCTTAACAGCAAGGGGAAGAGATCTAAAAAAAATTCCCTAGATCTAAGGCCCAAAGACTAGACGGGCTTGTATTGGGATTCAGAATTTTAGCTTTTCATCATTTCTTTTTAACTTTTGGTGCGCTTGGGTTTCTGTATACCAAACCAAAGGACGGACACACACACACACACACTCTCTCTCTCTCTCTCTCTCTCTCTCTCTCTCTCTCTCTCTCTCTCTCTCTCTCTCACTTACACTGTGGTCATGTCTGTGTTGGGTAAAGACAACTTAATTAGCAAGAGTTAGGCTTAATTTAATTCACTGTATTTATGAACCCTGAAGCCGTGCCACCAGAGTTTGGACCTTAGTTTGGCCACTCACTGGATGTCAAGTGGCAGCCATAAAATGGGGAGCCTGGTTATCAAAGACCGGGGCACAATCTGAACTCTCTAGATTATTTTTTTTTGTTTTTGTTTTTTTTTTTTTTGGGTCCGGTCGTGGGGCTTGAACTCTGGGCCTGGGCGCTGTCTCTCAGCTCTTCAGCTCAAGGCTAGCGCTCTACCACTTGAGTCACAGCGCCACTTCCGGCTTTCTTATGTGGTGCCTCATGCATGCAAGGCAAGCGCTCTACCACTGAGCCACCTTCCCAGCCCATGAACTCTCTAGATTATAGGTAAGAAATCCCTAAGTTTAGGGGAATATTCTCTAACCCATGCCCCGAAAGAATCTATAACCTATAAAAATATACCTACTAAAGGGAAGGTAAAGTCCAGTTTACACTGAATAAATTGTTGTAAGCCTAGTCTTTGAGAAAGAGAAGAAATCAAAGATTTATAAATGAGCGTGTTATGAGGTACTCTTTTAAGACATCTGAATGAGTTTGAATATTTAAACAACTTCTTAACATTATTAGTTCTAAAATATTTCTTGGTGTCTGTTTCTTACATTAGAATCTGAATTACCCGGAACAGAAAGTTGTGACTGTGGGACAGTTCAAAATCGGTTTGATCCACGGACATCAGGTCATTCCGTGGGGAGACATGGCCAGCCTGGCCCTGCTGCAGAGGCAGTTCGATGTGGACATTCTTATCTCAGGACACACTCACAAATTTGAAGCATTTGAGCATGAAAATAAATTCTACATTAACCCAGGTTCTGCCACTGGGGCATATAATGCCTTGGAAACGTAAGTAGTGTGCTGTAAAATTAACAGTTGCCTATGTGATAGTTTATAAAAGAAATGTAGCCAGGTGCTGGTGGCTCTCATCTATAATCCTAGCTACTGGAGAGGCTGAGATCTGGAGGATCTTAGTTCAAAGCTAGCAATATCAGAAAAGTCTGCAAGAGACCATTTCCAATTAACCAGCAAAAGGAGAGTTCAAGGTATGGTGCAAGTGATAGAGTGCCAGCTGTAACCAAGAAAGCCGAGCAAGAAAGCGAGGCCCTGAGTTCAAGCCCTGGTACCAACACACACACACACATAGACACACACCAAAACATTTTTTAAAAGCCACCTTTAAAATAATTCTTTTGGTTGGGCTGGGAAGGTGGCTCAGGGGTACGAGTGCTTGCCTTGCATGCATGAGGTCCTGGGTTCAATTCCTCAGCACCACATAAGCAGAAAAAGCCGGAAGTGGCGCTGTGGTTCAAGTGGTAGAGTGCTAGCCTTGAATTGAAGAGCTGAGGGACAGCACCCAGGCCTAGTTCAAGCCCCACAACCGGCAACAACAACAACAACAAATAATTCTTTTGGTAATTGTAATTGTTTTGTTGTTTTTTGGACATGTTGGGGATTGAACTCGGGGCCTTGCTTGGCTAGGCGGGTGCTCTGCTAGAACCAAGTTCCAGTCCATTTGCATTGGTTATTTTCAAGGTGTGGTTTCCTGCTATGCTTGGGCTGGCCTGGGCTGAACTCCTACTTGCCCTCCCCGCCATCACCAGGGACCACAGCCTCATACCGACGCATAGCATCATCATGCTTTGCAGCTGGGTTGACAGGCATGTGACCCAGCCATTGGTGAGATGGAGTCTCACTAACTTTTATACCTGGGCTGGCCTCAAACCTTGATCCCCCATCTCTTGCTCCCAAGAAGCTAGGATTATAGGCTTGAACCACTCACTGGTACTTGTTCTTTTTAAACATGCAAGCAACCATCAACATTTCTTCTTGAATTCAAGTTAAATTGAGGTTTATAGTTCTATTGCTATTTAGTACAAAACACTGATACTATGTCTTTCCTTCCAGAAATATTATTCCATCGTTTGTGTTGATGGACATCCAGGCTTCCACAGTGGTCACATATGTCTATCAGCTAATTGGAGATGACGTGAAAGTAGAAAGAATTGAATACAAAAAATCTTAAAACTAGTCTGTCTTGATTTTTTCATTACCCTATTACCCTGTTCAAATCAAGCAATTAAACATTTAAGAATCACATAACTGTATCCCTTTTATATTTAGCAGTAAAATGTAATACATCTTCTGTTACTACTTCCTCTAATCTTCTTAGAAACTGTAGTTAGTTTGCAGTATAGACTTTCTATTTTAAAAAGTCCACCTTACAGTAAATGGTTGTGTGTTAAGAAAAAGTTATTCTTGTAAATATCTTCAAAGTTGGCATTTGGACCTTATTTTACAACCAGTGCATGAACAGAAAGAATATAGACTTTCTGTGTACATTTTTCTCTTCTCCAGTAATAAATGTTTACTTTTCATGAATACTTTCTTGATAGACTGTTTAATTTTAAAACACAAGAGACCCAGTGACACTGCGTGACACTGACAGTGGAGAGGCAGGTGCGAGGCTCACTCAGCTTTCTCTGCATTGGTAATACTGTTGGACTCCCATCTTCCTTCCTAAGCGATGTTTCATATTCCCATATTACAGCAGTGGCTCTTCAAACTGTTGCTGCTCCTATTTTTCAAGGTTCAAAAAAAAAACCCACTAAAGTTATAAAGGAAGCATACTAGATTGAACAGGTAGTGTAAGGAATCCTCTCATTAGCCAGGCGCTGGTGGCTCACAGTTGGCATCGCAGCTACTCAGGAGGCTGAGATGTGAGGATCTCATTCAAAGCCAGCCTGGGCAGGAAAATCTGTGAAACTTTTTTTTTTTTTTTGCCAGGGGTTTAAACTCAGGGCCTGGGTACTGTCCTTAATCTTTTGCTCAAGGCTAGCACTCTACCACTTGAGCCACAGAGTCACTTCCGGCTTTTTCTGTGTATGTGGTACTGAGGACTTGAACCCAGGGCTTCATGCATCTTAGGTAAGCACTCTACCACTGAGCCATATTTCCAGCCCCTTTGAAGCTTATCTCCAACTACCAGAAAACTGGAAGTGGTGCTGTGGCTTAAAGTAGTACAAAGCTAGCCTTGAGCAAAAAAGCTCAGAGACAGTGCCCAGGCCCTGAGTTTAAGCCCCACAAATGACCCAAAAAAACCCAAAATCCTTCGTTAGAACCATTCCCAACTGTATCAGTTTTTTTTTTTTTTCCAGTCATGGGGCCTGAACTCTGGGCCTGAGCGCTGTCCCTTAGCTTTTTAGCTGTAGATTAGCGCTCTATCACTTGAGCCTCAGCCCCACTTCCGGCTTTTTCTGCCTGTGTGGTGCTGAGGAATTGAATTGAGGGCCTAATGCATGCAAGGCACGCACTCTACCACTGAGCCATCTTCCCAGCCCCCAACTGTATCAAGTTTGAGAGTATGGTAACTTTTATAAGATACAGAAAAATCTGTTTGTAAACTATTCAAGTAGTATTTCTTGAGCACCTACTTTCTAAGTCAGGGTGTTTACCCCTGAATGCTCTTCTATTTCTGGACATGCTAGTTTTTCTTAGCCCAGTTAAGAAAATCCTTGTAGCCAGGCACCAGTGGCTCATCCTAGCTGCTCAGGAGGCTGAGAGCTGAGGATTACGGTTCAAAGCCAGCAGGGGCAGGAAGTCTGTGAGAACCTTACCTCCAATGAACCACCAGAAAACCAGAGGTGGCGCTGTAGGCTCAAGTAATGGAGTGCTTGCTTCGAACTAACTGCTGAGGGACAGCGCCCAGGCCCAGTTTAAGCCACACAACTGACAAAAGGAAGTCAGTTTTATGTGACAAGAAAACTTTAATTGTACATAGCAGAAGTATAAGCATGTATTTCAGGTAAATTTTATTACACAAATATCATTTGCACACAAGTTGCTAAAACAAAATTAACGGCTTAATGGTGCAAAATGCAATTCTAAACATGGAGAGCATGCGTCAGCCCTTGCGCCCACCCGCCTTTGGCACTGTGCTGCAGCTGTTCACCCAGCACACAGGACTGTCAGGCCAGCATCAGATGCTCTTCCTGTTCTTCGATCGACATAGATTGCATACACTTATTTAGTAGGTCTTCCTCCTTTTTTTCTTCATTCATGTAGGATTCAGAGTCATTTGAAGAAACTGAAGGAAAAATCAGAGTTTATAATAGCTGTTTTGGAAATGAAGTTCTAAGTGCAACTTGGAAGATGACCTTTTTGTTTTGGTTGGTCATGGGGCTTGAATCGGCCTGGGCACTGTCCCTTAGCCCTTTCACTCAAAAGTAGTACTCTACCACTTAGAGTCACAGCGCCACTTCTGGTTTTCTGGTGGTTTATTGGAGATAAGAGTTCTCATGACTTTCCTGTCTGGACTGACTTCAAACCCTAATCCTCAGATCTCAGCCTCCTAAGTAGCTAGGATTACAAGTGTGAACCACCAGAGCCCTGGCTGACATAATTTATTAATAAACCTTTATTTAGTGAAAACAAATGGCCTTCAGGGCTCAGCCTGTAGCTACTTCCTTGTCTTAAATCTTTTGCTCATTAAGAGTTATAGTACTGGGGCTGGGGTTGGAGGTGTTGCTCAGTTGGTAGAGCACTAACCAATGAGCAAAAAGAGTCCCTGTCTCTGACAGAAGAGTTACAGTACTGTACTCTCCACACTAGAGTGCTGTGAGGAACAAGCACTGTGCCCCAGGGAGTTTCAAGATCTGGCTCAAGTTGAAGTGGTCAGGTTTTCCTGAGTATCTTCATTTTCCTTTAGGTCTTCTCTTGGAGACCATAGCAACTTTTCCTGTGTGAGTTGTGCTAACAGTTTGTTTTAAAGCCAGACCTTCTCCCCCTGCCCTTTCCCTTATTCTTGGCTGGGCATGAAAGTGCCCGTTTACTGCGAGGCTGAGCGGGGTCAGCATACAGTGACGGATGTCAGCTCAGAGGGCCCGCCTTCCCTGCTTCCCACCATGGCAGTAGCTAGGAAGTGTAGTAGTAGTAATAGTATTTTGGTACTACGGGGACTCACACACACGTATAAGTTCCACACTTACTTGGCTGCATGTACAGTTTGCCTGATCTTCTGAAAATCTTCATTGACTTACATCTTGTTTTAGACACATGTCCATTTTTTAACCTTAAAGTAAGGTTAAAAATAAGGTTAACAACGGGAAATAACAAAGTGAGTGAACCACTGCCTAATGCATGTGGTCACGCTGTGGCTCAGGTGGTAGAGCACCAGCCTTGAGCAAAAGAGCTCAGGGACAGCACCCAGGCCTGAGTTCAAGCTCCATGACTGAAAACAATAAATAAATAAAAATAAAGTAGAATATTTCTCTCTGCAGAAACATTATATGCATTTCTCTTCGTGGAAGTGTTTGCGTAATTTTAAATTTGTATAGAAACACTGAAAGGGAAGCCCATATCTCTAGCTGATTCAAAGAAGACATTCCAATGAGCTTGGTAAAAAAAAAGTAAGACCCCTTTTTCAAGTCGTGGGGCTTGAACTCTGGGCTTGGGCACTGTCCCTGCGCTCTCCGCTTGAGCCACAGTGGCACTTCCAGTTTCCCAGTGGTTTATTGGAGATAAGAGTCTCACAGACTTTCCTGCCCGGGCTGGCTTTGAACCGGGATCTTCAGATCTCAGCCTCCTCAGCTAGGAATACAGGCGTGAGCCACCGGCGCCCGGCAGTAAGACCCTTTTGTGCAACCTGTCTACTCTGTTCTCAGCCGAGCCTAGTGAACACAATTTTTACTATCACTTAGCAGTCCTTCAGATAGAACAGGGAGTTGTGAGAAACAGATGCTCATGTAACTGTAACCCCTCTGTACATCACTTATAGTAATAAAAACATTAAAACAACAACAACAACAAACCCCTCTTTGTTCCTCGGGGAGCGCCAAAGGGAATGCTGTAGGCTCCCTTGGGGTGCAGCCTGGGTGCAGGACAAGCCCTTCGCCAGCTGATGGCGCCCTGTGGTGGCAGTGGAAGGCTGTTTCTGTGAGCAGCGGCAGCAGGGCGCGCCTGGGAGACAAAGCATCAGTCAGGACATCTCTCGCAGGAGAGGCGGGGCTGGGGAAGCCCGAGTGCACCTGCCTGGCTCCTGCGAGCTGTGATGAATCACTTGCATGTACTGCCTTTTCATCAGCATCCGCAGATAGCTGGAGTTGCAGATCTTCGCGATGCTGTAGAGGTAACGCTTCTGGCTCACAGTGAGGTATGGATGCTAAAGACAAAAGGATATTTATTACTAACGCTGTAAAACATGGGGATGCGGCTATCTTTCTCACCTGAAAGGGTGATGTGGAGAGCTGTATGTTTTATTGAGCCAACTGTATTAACTTAGCCCAAAAGGGAATGAAATGTCCATCAAGAGTGCAGGTGAGGGGCTGGGAAGGTGGCTCAGTGGTAGAGCGCTTGCCTTGCATGCAGGAGGCCCTGGGTTCAATTCCTCAGCACCACATAAGCAGAAATAGCCGGAAATGGTGCTGTGACTCAAGTGGTAGAGCACTACTAGCCTTGAGCTGAAGAGCTGAGAGACAGTGCCCAGGCACAGAGTTCAGACACCACGACTGACCAAAAAAAAAAAAAAAAGTACAGCTGAGGGCTGGGAAGGTGGCTCAGTGGTGGAGTGATCGCCTTGAGCTGAAGAGCTGAGGGGCAGCGCCCAAGCCCAGGGTTCAAGCCCCATGACGAACCAAAAAAAAAAGGCTGGGAAGGTGGCTTAGTGGTAGAGCGCTTGCCTTGCATGCCTGAGGCTCTGGGTTCAATTCCTCAGCACCATATAAGAAAAAAGCCGAAAGTGTTGCTGTGGCTCAAGTGGTAGAGCGCTAGCCTTGAGCTGAAGAGCTGAGGGACAGCGCCCAGGCCCAGAGTTCAGGCCCCACGACTGGACCCCCCCCCCCCCCCCCCAAAAAAAAAAGTGCAACTGAGAGCTGGGAATGTGGCTTAGTGGTAGAGTGCTTGCCTTCAAAGCCAGCCCTGGCAGGAAAGTCCTTGAGACTCATCTCTAATAAACCGCTAGAAAACTGGAAGTGGCGCTGTGGCTCAAGTGGTAGAGTGCTCGCCTTGAGCTGAAGAGCTGAGGGACAGCACCCTCAACAGACAAAAAAGAAAAACAGAAAAAGCTGGAAATGGCACTATGGCTCAAGTGGTAGTGAGCAAAAGCTCAGGGACAGCGCCCAGGCCCTGAGTTCAAGACCCAGAACTGGCAAAAAAAAAATAAAGTGCAGCTTATGCTTGTAATCCTCGCTCCTCAGGAGGAGATCTGAGAGATCTGAGTATCAAGGTTCAGGCAGTAAAGTCCAAGAGACTCATCTCCAAAACCATCAGAAAACCAGAAGTGGTTCAAGGTAGAAGAGTGCTAGCTTTGAGTAAAAAGAACTCAGGGAGTGTGCTCAAGTCCCAAGTTTAAGCCCCACAACCAACAAAAAATGCTGGATTGGAGCTGTGGCTCAAGTAGTAGAACATTAACCATGAGGAAAAACTGAGCAAGAGGACGCTGAGGGAGTGAGCCGGGCTCTGGTGGCTCATGCCTGTAATCCTAGCTAACTCAGGAGGTTGAGATCTGAGGATTGCAGTTCAAAGCCACTGTGGGTTCACTTCCTGGCTCAGCGGCAGGGGGTCTGCTTAGCATGCATGTGCCCCCCCCAACAAAAAACAACCAAGCCCCCCCCCCCCCCCCCCCCCCCCGTCACCCTACCTTTAGGAAGCAGGTGTCCACCAGCGCCTTGGGGACGTGAATGGTCTGCAGGAGGGGCGTCCGCCGTAACTCGTGCAGCGTGGCCATGTGTGAGCTCATCTTGTGTCTATCTTTAATTCTATCTGCAGCCAAGGATGTGATGTGAATTTCAGAGGACTAGCTAGGACTGCACCCTTGAGCCACTGTCACCTGGCCATACCAGCCTTTTAAAAATTGGTTTTGTTTGAGACAGGATCTGCAGAGCCTGGGCTGGCTCATGATGAAGGGTACTATTGCCCTAGCATCCCTACTGCTGAGATTACAGACGTGCATCACTACACCTAGCCTTTTTGCACTAAGAATTTTGGCATGGAATTTAAATTAGCCAACCTTCCCTGTAACACACTATGAAAACGACCATGTGGTCAGGCGCTGGTGCTCTCACTTGTAACCCTAGCTAGTTGGGAGGCTGAGATCTATACACCAGGTGAGTCTATACACCAAAGTTCCAGATGGCATGGGCTTGTCATTCCAGGCACCATGGGAAAACAAACATAGATGTGTGGAGGTCCAGGAGTGAGCCTGCGTAGGAAGTGAGACCCTAGCTCAAAAATAACCAAAAACCAGGTGCAGTGGCTCACACCTGTAACCTAACTACTCAGAAGGCTGAGATCTGAGGGAGAAGCCAGGGCAGGAAAGGGAAAATTCGTGACACTCTCCTCTCCAATTAACCAGCAAAAAGCTGACAGTGACGCTGTGGTTCAAATGGTGTAGCATTAGCTTTGAGCAAAAAAGTTCAGGGGTGGAGTCCATGCCCCAAGGCTAGAGGTGTCATTTGGGGGCAGGGAGAGGGGGGGTGCCTTTCTAGCAAGATCTGAAGATTGCAATTAAATGCTGGCCTGAGCAAGTCCATGAGACTTTTATTTCCAATTACCCACCACATGGCCAGAAGTGTAGCCAAATCAAGCCTTGCACAAAAAAAAGCTTCAGGACAGCACCTAGTCCCTAAACTCCAGCCCCAGGCCCTACATTGTGTAAGTAGAAGCAAACTAGCTTCCTTGAACTACTATGTACAGGTCTGATCTGCACTTACCAGTACTTTTGGCATTCTGGTAATATGAATGTTCAGTTGATCTGTTAAAAAAAAAAAGGATATAAATATGTAAAGACTGACAGCTTTATGGGCATTCAAGAACACACTTCACAGGACAAAGGAATGGCTTGCATACACTTTAACTTTCCATGTTTCCACGTGACACAATGTCTCAGAAAGTTCTCCTGTAATTTTGCTTACATCCTAAAGGCACCACTACACTTTCTTTGGAGTTACCTGAAATTTTTATCTTACTAAAAAGGACTTACTTTAAACCATGTTTGGTCATTTATCGCTTCTTAATTTCCACAATGAACCCAATGACCTATTGGGGCTGGTGAAGTGACTCAAGCCTGTCACCAAGCACTCAGGAGGTGGCTGAGGCAAGAGGACTGTGAATGCAAGGCCACCCTGGGCTACACAGCTACACGCTATTTCACCAGCTACGAAAAAGAATCAGCTCCTCTGGGCTCCTGCTGCATCCACGTTATTATTTTCCTGTTCTCTTTAATAAAGTATTGAGACATTTAAAAAAAACAACAACACGACCCCTTGAAAGAGTGGTTCATTCACGGTGTAAAATGTTTCCGGTTTCATACAAGAACCCATCAAACCAAGAGCCAGCTTTTAGCCACGGCCAGAGGCTCAGCGGCGGTCATCCTAGCGACTCGGGAGGCTGAGATCTGAGGATCGCCGTTAAAAGGCTGGTCGGGGCAAGACCGACCAGGAATGAGACCTTTATCTCCACTTAGCCCCAAACAACAAGCAGTGGAGCTGGATCCGGTGACAGGTGGTGGGCGCCTGCCTTGAACCAAACAGCTCAGGACCGGCGCCCGGTGCCCGGACTCCAGCGCCACGACCAGCACAAAGGTAACACCACCAACACCAGAGTTCTTCTAATTCATTCCGTGGCCGCCATCCAGGGGTTCGACAAAGCGGGCCCCGGCCCGCCCCGGCCGCTGTGAAGACCTGAGGAAGACCCACACGCCCGCCTAACCCGGGGAAACTGAGGCAGGGGACGGGGCGTTCAAGGCCAGCCCGGGAAGCTCCGCTTAGATCCTGTCTTGACAACCAGCCAACAAACGCAGACGTGAGGGCCGCCGCGGCCGCTGGCATCGGAACCCACCCGAAGCCCGGCCGGGAGACCCCGGGCGCGTCCCCCCGCCCCGTCCCCGCCGTCCGGCCGCGGGGGCCCCCGCCGGGTCCGCGGCGCCCTCCGGGGCCCGAGCGCCACGGGGCCCGGCCCCGGCCCCGGCCCCGGCCCCGGCCCCGGCCCGCCTCCGCCACCCGCCAACGCGAAGGGCCCCGCCCCGGGCCGGGCTCCGCGCACACGCGGGCGGCCGCGCCTCACCGGCGGCCGCCACCCTCGGCCTCGGCCCCGAGGGGCGCCTCAGCCTGGCCCGGCATCGCCTTGCACCCGGTGCCCGGCGCGGGGCTGGAGCGCCGGGGACGCCGGGAGCGTGCGGAGGGCCGGGCGGCGGACCCCGGTGCGCAAGGCGGGGGGCGCGCGGCGGGAACGCGCGGCGGGAACGCGGGCGAGTGGACCTGCCCGGAGACCACGTGCTCCACCCCCAACGACCCTCGGCACCGCAAAGCCAAACCTGAGGAGCTACGAAACCCGGGCGCCCGGGCGCGCAGCGAACCGTTAGCCGTTGTCACCCAGGCAACCAGAGCGTTGGTGCGCCAACCGCCCTTGGCCTTCGACAGCTTCGGCGCATACGCGGACCCGCCCTCTCCGCTCACACTCGTTTCGCCCGCTAGCGAGAGTCCCGGGATTTGACCCGCGGAACGCCCTGTAGTTAGGGGCGTGACAGAACGGAACGCGGAAGTGAAGGATGGATTATGATTGGTCCCCACTTCGAGTTCCCGGAAGTCAGAGGGCGTCGCGCGAAGGCTGAAGGCGTCGGGCGCTGACGGGAGCCGACGGGGACCCCGGGACCCGCCATGCCTCGGTACGCGCAGCTCGTCATGGGCCCCGCCGGCAGCGGGAAGGTGAGGAGCGCCAAGTCGCCGCTGTGGGGAGGCCGGGGCGCCGGCGCTGCGGCGGGGCAGCGGGCCTGTGAAGCCGGGGCGCGGACGACCCCCTGTGCCCCCCGCGCTTCAGGGCCCGTTCTGCTTTTGCTCGGGACTAACGGTAGTTGCTAAAGTTCCTTGAGTACTTAGGCGCCCGTGTGTTTTCTTTAAAAAAAAAAAAAAAAATTGAAGGGCTGGGAAGGTGGCTCAGTGGTAGAGCGCTGGCCTTGCATGCCTGAGGCCCGGGTTCGATTCCCCAGCACCACATAAGCAGAAAAAGCCAGACGCTGTGGCTCAAGTGGTAGAGCGCTAGCCTTGAGCTGAAGAGCTGAGGGACAGCGCCCAGACCCAGAGTTCAAGCCCCACGCCCGGACCCCCCCCCCCCAAAAAAAGGTGTTTATTTCATTTTAAAATATTTTAAGTTGCTATTAAGAAGGTGATGTGCAGAGGGGCGACACGTCAGGTAAAGGGCACACGTCTTGTTTTTTTTTTTTGTTGGTCCTGGGGCTTGAACTCTGGGCTTGGGCGCTGTCCCTGCAAAGAGCACATGTCTTTTTGGACAATGTCACCCCTTCCCTCACCCTCTCCTAGTTCCCTGGTTTATTTTCATAGCAGCCCTTGAGATTGTCTTTTTTTAGGAGTAAAAGGAAAAACACCTCCAGCCTGAGGCTCATGCCTATTACAGGCATAAAATGCTGGGATTACCCTGCCTGTGAGGGTCAGAGGTGAGAAGGATCGGGAGTTCTAGGCCAGCCTGGGCTACAAGTTGAGCTGGTGTTTGACAGTTGAAGCTCCTGAGTGGCTGTTGTCCCAGCTACTCAAAGTGCCTGGGATCTGAGGATCACAGCTCAAAACTAGCCTGGCTAGAAATGAGCTGCGGCCTGAAACTGGAGGTGTGGCCCAAATGGTGGGGCACCATCTTTGAGGAGACAATGAAGGAAAAAGCTAAGGGACAGTTCCCAGGCCCTGAGTTCAATGCTTAGGACTGGCACACATAAATTTAGGATTGTGCTAGGCACTGGAGGCTCACATCTGTAATCCTAGCTACTCAGGAGGCTAAGATATGAGGATCGAGGTTCAAAGCCGGCCCCGGCAAGAAATTCCCCATGAGACTCTTTATCTCCAACTAATCACCAGAAAACTGAAAGTGGCCCTGTGGCTCAAGTGGTAGAACGTTTGGCTTGAGCTGAAAAGCTCAGGGAAAGTGCCCAGGCCCAGAGTTCAAGCCCCACAATCGACCAAAAAAAAAAAAAAATAAGGATTGTGATTGTTATTGTTACATTATACTGCAGTGTGTGTGTGTGTGTGTGTGTGTGTGTGTGTGTGTGTGTGCGCGTGCATATTTGCTGGTCTCACAGAATCCTGTCCAGGCTGGCTTCAAATTGAAATTCTCAGATTAGGCATATAAAATACAGTATAAATGGTGAAGAAATTGCCCAGATATCAGAGGGAGAAAGAGTCCAGAAGCATGTTACTTCAGTCTTTATCACAGCCTGAGCCATTGACTTGGTCCCTAAGGGATATGAAGGTCAGTGGCCTGGCCTGCTCTTACTCTTATTCCTGTGACTTTGCAGAGCACCTACTGTTCCACTATGGTGCAGCACTGTGAAGCCCTCAGCCGGTCTGTCCAGGTGGTCAACCTAGACCCAGCGGCCGAGCACTTCAACTACCCTGTGATGGCTGGTGAGTCCTGGCGGGGCCTCCCCTCCTTTGGGAATAGTAGGTAGGGGGAGAAGGGAGTGCAGGCTGCCCATCCTGGAAGCTGGAAACATAATTATTGTAGCTGGGCACCAGTAGCTCATGTCTGTCAGCTAGTTCTTCAGGAGGCTTAGATCTGAGGAGAGTGGTTTGAAGCTAGCCAGGACAGACAAACTCTAGAGACTCATGTTTAAGTCACCAGCAAAAAGCCAGAAGTGAAGATGTGCCTCAAGTGGTACAGTGCCAGCCTTGAGCAAAAACGCTAAGGGACAGTGCCCAGTCCCTTTGTTCAAGCCCCAGAACCAACACACACACACAGCAGCTATTACAGTCTGATGCCCCTGGTGAATACATTGATTGTTGTTTGGTGGTCTGTTTGTGATGATGTGTGCCAGTGGTTTTTTGTTTTATAGTATTAAGCCTTGAACTCAGGAACCCTATTGTCTTAGGAAAGCACTTAACCACTTGGGCCACGTCCAGCGCCACTCCAGTTTTGTGGTGTTTATTAGAGATAAGAGTTTCACGGACTCTCCTGCCGGGGCTTGCTTTGAACTGTGATCCTCAGATCTCAGCCTCCTGAGTAGCTAGGATTACAGGCATGAGCCACCGGTGCCCGGCTCAGACCATTTTCTTTTTTTCTTTTTTTTTTTTTGGGTCTGGTCATGGGCCTGAACTCTGGGCCTGGGCACTGTCCCTCAGCTCTTCACCTCAAGACTAGCACTGTACCACTTGAGCCACAGCACCACTACCGGCTTTTTTTTTTTCCTGCTTATGTGGTGCTGAGGAATTGAATGCAGGGCCTCATGCATGCAAGGCAAGCACTCTACCACTGAACCACTTTCCTAGCCCCTCAGACCATTTTCTTAAATTGTCACTACCACGGTTTGAATTCAGCCTCTTCCTTGATTAAAGCTAGCCCTCTGTAGGTTGAGTCTCGCCTCCATCTCTGTTTTTTGATGGTTATGGTTATTTTATAGCTAATGGCTTATGGACTTTTCTGCCCAAGCTGGCTTCAAACTTTGATCCTTTGGACCTGAGACTCCCTGAGTAGCAAGGATTACAAGCATAAGCCCCTTGTGCCCAGCTGTATTATTTTTGTTGGTGATGGTGGTAGTTATGGCCCTTGAACTTGGGGCTTGAGTACTGCGCCTGGGCTTTTTTATACTCTACCACTTTGAGCCACAGCTCCACTACTGGTTTGCTGGTGGTTAATTGGAGATAGAGTATCACATGCTTTCCTGCCTGGGCTGGCTTTATTTGATCCTTAGATGTCAGCCTCCTAAGTAGCTAGGATTATGGGCATGAACCTACAGCACCTAGCACATATATTTTGTTTTTGAGATAGGGTCTTGCTAACTTTGCTTGGGCTAGTCTTTTAAATCAGTGATCTTCCTTCCTTTGCCTTGCAAATACCTGGAATTATAGGCAGAAACCACTATGCCCAAATCCATTTTTTTTCCTTTTTTTTTTTTTTTTTTGTTGTTATTGGTTGTGGGACTTGAACTCTGGGCCTGGGTGCTGTCCCTGAGCTCTTCAGCTCAAGGTGAGCACTCTACCACTTAAGCCACAGCACCACTTCCGGTTTTCTGGTGGTTAATTGGAGATGAGAGTCTCATGGACTTTGCTTGCCCAGGCTGGCTCAACAGCAATCCCCAGATCTCAGCCTCCTGAGTAGCTTTTTCCATTTATGTGGTACTGAGGAATGGAATCCAGGGCTTCACACATGTGAGGCAAGTACTCTACCACTAAGCCACATTCCCAGCCCCAGGATTATAATTTTCAAGAGGACACTCTTCTGTTCTTTCCAGACATCCGGGAGCTGATTGAAGTGGATGATGTTATGGAGGATGCATCGCTGAGGTTTGGTCCCAACGGAGGACTGGTGTTCTGCATGGAGTACTTTGCCAATAATTTTGACTGGCTGGAGGACTGTCTCGGCCATGTGGAGGATGACTACATCCTTTTTGACTGTCCAGGTAAGTCAGCAGTTTGTGTTACCTTTGAAGCTGTAGTTATGTTCTTTGTGTAGCTCTGACTGCACAGCAGCAAGGTGCCATGTCTTGTGCATTTTTTTTTTTTTTTTTTGTCGGTCGTGGGGCTTGAACTCTGGGCCTGGGCGCTGTCCCTCAGCTCTTCAGCTCAAGGCGAGCGCTCTACCACTTGAGCTACAGCGCCACTTCCGGTTTTCTGGTGGTTTATTGGAGATAGGAGTCTCACGGTCTTTCCTGCCCGGGCTGGCTTTGAACCGCAATCCTCAGATCTCAGCCTCCTGAGTAGCTAGGATTACAGGCGTGAGCCACCAGCGCCCGGCTAAAGTAATTTTTTTTTTTTTTTTTTTGTCGGTCGTGGGGCTTGAACTCTGGGCCTGGGCGCTGTCCCTCAGCTCTGCAGCTCAAGGCGAGCGCTCTACCACTTGAGCTACAGCGCCACTTCCGTGTCTTGTGCATTTGAACTTGGTAGATTACGAGGTAGCTGTGGTCTCTGCCTTTCTAGGACTCACAGTCCAGGGGTTTGTGAGACACCAGAAACAAAATCACCCCAGTGGTCCCTGAATCCCTCAGTAACTGAGAGTGTCGCATGCAGGGGAGAGGGAGATCTCTGGTCTTGTGGCCTCTAAGCTACAGGGTAGAGGTGAAGGTGAGGGGCAGTGCTTCAGGCTGGGGCTCTCACGCCAAGGCCTCATAAGCTTAGTACGGTTTTGTGGCCTTCATTTGTTTTCTTTTTTTTTTTTTTAATTGGTCATGGGGCTTGAACTCAGGGTCTGGATGCTGTCCCTGAGCTTTTCTGCTCAAGGCTATTGCTCTACTACCTTAAGCCATTCAAGCTCCACTTGGGAGTTTCTGGTGGTTAATTGGAGGTAACCATCTCATGGACTTTCTTGCCCAGGCTGTCTTTGAGCCATGGTCCTCAGCTCTCAGCCTCCTAAGTAGCTAGGATTTAGATTTCCTCTTTTCACCTTGGATGGGAGGACTTAGGTATAGTTGATGACTTAACCTGTTTCCTGTGTTCTTTCTGCAGGTCAGATTGAGCTGTACACGCATCTGCCTGTGATGAAGCAGCTAGTCCAGCAGCTGGAGCAGTGGGAGTTCCGAGTCTGTGGAGTTTTTCTTGTCGATTCCCAGTTCATGGTGGAGTCATTCAAGGTGGGGGGATAAGTGTGCTGGCGATTGCTTGGTCATGGGTACCGTACAGAGATGGCATCCTTCTCCAACTGCTGTGATTCCTGGCATTGCACACACCAGTCTGGAGCTATTTAGTATCCTTTTCTTCATTACTACATTATTATGTATTTTTAACTCACTAATAGATATTTTTAGCTCAAAAATAAGAAATGAAATACAGATTTTGGAGAGTTACTTGCTTAAAAAAAAACTGATACAAGCCAGGCTCATGCCTGTAATCATAGCTACTCAAGAGGTTGAGATCTGAGGGTTGCATTTCAAAGCCAGCCTGGGCAAGAAAGTTCGTGAGACTCGTAATGTCTAATTAAGCATCAGAAAACTGAAGTGGCTGAAAGTGGTAGAGCGCTAGCCTTGAACAAAAGGAGCTCAGGGACAGCACCCAGGCCCTGAGTTCAAGCCCCAAGACCGACAGAAAAATAAAGGTCTATTTGGAATTTCTGTTTAAACTGGAATTTGTGGTTAGCACAGATGGAAGTCCACATCTTTTATTCTTCCCTCACCTGGGAGTCCATGTGAGCTGTGGTTCTCTAGGTCTTTGGTCACAGGAGCATTTCTTACTCCAGCATTGCCGTCAGGGTGGGGTAGAGGCCGCTCTTGTGACTGAGGCAACCATTGATCCCGTCTGTGCCTCTTTCAGTTCATCTCTGGCGTCCTGGCGGCCCTGAGTGCCATGATCTCTCTGGAAATTCCTCAAGTGAACATCATGACCAAAATGGACCTGCTGAGCAAGAAAGCGAAGAAGGAAATTGAGAAGTGAGTTTCCTGTCCTGTGGCTGTCAGGTCTCAGCCCTCTGTCTGCCGAGTTCTGACCTTCCCTGCTGTAACCCCGGCCTCCTGATTAGTATTCATTTATTCTTTACTTTGACAGGTTTCTGGATCCTGATATGTATTCTTTATTACAAGATTCCACAAGTGGCTTAAGAAGCAAAAAATTTAAAAAACTGACTAATGCTATTTGTGGACTGGTAAGCTTTTTATTATTATTTTTTTTTTTTTTTGGGTCCGGTCGTGGGGCCTGAACTCTGGGCCTGGGCACTGTCCCTCAGCTCTTCAGCTCAAGGCTAGCACTCTACCACTTGAGCCACAGCGCCACCTCCGGCTTTTTTCTTTTTGCTTATGTGGTGCTGAGGAATCGAACCCAGGGCCTCAGGCATGCAAGGCAAGCGCTCTACCACTGAGCCACCTTCCCAGCCTCTGGTAAGCTTTTTAAAGTGTATTTAATCTTGAGAAGATTTTTGCTGGTCATGGGGTTTGAGCTCAGGGCCTGGGTGCTGTCCCTGAGTCCTTTTGCTCAAAGCTAGTGTTATACCACTTTAAGCCACAGCACCACTTCTGGTTTCCTGGTGGTTAATTGGAGATCTCATGGATTTTCTTGCTGGGCTGGCTTCAAATCATGATCCTCAGATCTCAGCCTCCTGAGTAGCTAAGGTTAGAGGTTATATATAGAGCCACCAGCAGCCAGCTATTTTTTTTGGGGGGGGGGGGGGGGTCGGTCGTGGGGCTTGAACTCTGGGTTTGAGCACTGTCCCTGCACTCTTCAGCTCAGGGCGAGGGCTCTATCTCTTGAGCCACAGCGCCACTTCCTGTTCTCCAGTGGTTTATTGGAGATAAGAGCCTCACGGACTTTGCTGCCTGGGCTGGCTTTGAACCGTGATCCTCAGATCTCAGCCTCCTAAGCAGCTAAGATTATAGGTGTGAGCCACCGGTGACAGCCAGCTAATTTTGAGGAGTTTTTGGCCTGGTTGAGAATTGGACTGCATCTAGTCAGTGGCCCTATTCCTGGAAAGCATGGTCCAGCCCCACACCTGCAAAAAAAGAAGGGTCTATTGAGGTGGCCACTTAATTCAATTTAGGAGATATGGAGAGCCCAATAAATCAGTATACCTTACTTCAAGCTATTGGTCAGTTGAGAGCTGGATATAGTAGTACATACTTGTAAACCCAGCAGTTGGGAAGCCAAGTTAGGATTGCAGGCCCTAGGCTACCCTGGTCGTGAGAGCCTGACCCAAATAAAAAGCTAGAGGTAGGCTGGGAAGGTGGCTCAGTGGTAGAGTGCTTGCCTTGCATGCATGAGGGCCTGGGTTCTATTCCTCAGCACCCCATAAGCAGAAAAAGCTGGAAGTGGTGCTGTGGCTCAAGTGGTAGAGCACTAGCCTTAGCTGAAGAGCTGAGGATCAGCGCCCAGGCCCAGAGTTCAGGCCCTATGACTGACTGATAGAGAGTCTGTCTAGCAAAGGCCAGGACTCAAACAGCACCACCAAAAGAAAAAGATGATGAAAAAGGTGACATTGATCAAGATGCATAATACTCAGGCTGACACGTTGATTTGAAACCTTTTTGTAAAACTACTTAAAGATAGTTAAAAGCAAAAACAAGGGCTGGGAATGTGTGCCTAGCATGCATGAAGCCCTGGGTTCGATTCCACAGTACCACATAACCAGAAAAAGCCAGAAGTGGAGCTGCTCAAATGGTAGAGTGCTAGCCTTGAGAAAAGCAGCTCAGGGACAGTGTCCAGGCCCTGAGTTCAGGCCCCAGAACTGCCAAAAGAAAAAGAAAAAACAAAAATTGGCTTCCACCGTTATTCCCAGTAGATGTGGGGTTCAGATGGACATGCGTGGCCCAGTATGTGGTTAAGCAGTGAGCCAGTGTGAGCACAGGGCAGTCAGCAAGGGTTTGCCTGCCTCTGCCTTTGCCTCTGCCACCACTCCTCCCTTTGTACCCAGGCGCAAATGTTGTAGTCGGGAGTGCAGATGGCTAGAAGCCTCTGCTGTGAATTGAAAATAACGCATTTTTCTTGAAATCCTCACCACAGATTGACGACTACAGCATGGTGCGGTTTTTACCATATGATCACTCAGATGAGGAGAGCATGAACATTGTGTTACAGAATATCGATTTTGCCATTCAGTATGGAGAGGACCTGGAATTTAAAGAACCAAAGGTGATTTCTCACTTGAGCTGTTTTTCCTGGCTTGGGGAACATAATTGCCAGTAACCTCCTACGAACCTAGGCAACTCCTGGAGTTAGGATCTTTGTCTTGAGAATGGTGGTGCTCCCTGGGCTTTCTGGGTAATCTTCCAACTCCCACGTGTGTTCAGCGATTTGTATGGATTTTACTTCACCTATTGGAGCAGCCTATCGTCTTCTTTGTGCTTGCTGGGAGATGTGTGAAAGGAGGTGGACAAGGTATAGTTGAACTTGGAGGAGACTAATAGCAGCTGGCAGGAGAGCGCTGCCACAGCATGGGACAGAGAGCCACTGAATGTAATCCATTATTTTTTGGGTGACATAGGAGCACACTAGATTTGCCAAAGGTCTGAGTTGTTTTCTTTAAGACAAGCACTAGCTAGTAGCCCAGGCTGCTTGGGATCTTCTTCCTTCAGCCTCCCAAGTGGCTGGGATTATAGGCGTGCCCAACCACCCCTACCTGGAAAAATTCTATTATACTTTTTCTTATCATTAATATTGCCTATAGCAGCTGGGTGCTAGTAGTTCTTGTCTGTAATCCTAGCTACTCAGAAGACTGATATCTGAGGATGGTGGGTTGAAGCCAGCCTGGCAGAAAAACCCAAGAAACTTTTTTATCTCTAAATTTACCAGCAAAAATCTGACGTGGAGGTGTGGCTTAAGTAGTAGAGCACCAGCTTTCAGTGGAAAACAAAGCTAAGGGACAGTATGTAGGCCCTAAGTTTGAGCTCCAATACTGGCACCCAAAAAAAAAAAAAAAGATTGCCTGAGATCAACACCTGAAGCTCACCCTCCATACAGAGTAAACGATGCACACTATGACTGAGAAGAAATGAATGCATTTTCTGTTTTGTGTTTCCTTTGTGCCAGGAACAAGAAGCTGAGTCTTCCTCTATGTTTGATGAATATTTCCAGGAACGCCAGCAGGAATGAAGAGTAACTCACTATGAATGTGTGACAGCAGGCAGCCACGTTGGCAGCACTGGCTGTACTGTGCTCCCATAGGAAGCTGCTGCTTTTAATTAAATAGGTGCACTGGCTTATTATCAGGAGCACTGGCTCTTTATCAGGAGCACATTTGATTAGAGCTCCAAGTTCCTCTGGAGCTGCTCTTGTTTGAAGTGGTATCTTCTAACCTGGTACTGGTGGCTCATGCCTGTAATCCCAGCTACTCAGGTGGCTGAGAGCTGAGGATTACAGTTTGAAATCAGCAAGAAAGTCCACGAGATTTTTATCTTCAATTAACCACCAAAATGCTGGAACTGGTGCTGAGGCTCAAGTGGTAGAGTGCTAGCCTTGAGCACAAAAAAACTTGGACAGTGGCCAGACCCTGAGTTCAAGCCCCAGTACTGGCACCAAAAGGGGGGTGGTGGTGGCATCTTCTAGCTGTTCACTGATAGTTCAGTTATACAGAAGGCTGAGATCTGAGGAACTAGGTTCAAAGCCAGTTCAGGCAGAAAGGCTCTCTAGACTCTATTTCCAATTAACCAGTAAAATATTGAGCTGGAGGCATAGTTCTGAGCAAGCAAGTCAAATAAGCATAAGGCTGTTCAAACACTGGTACCAGCAAATAAACATATACATATATGTGTGTATATGTATGCATGTACATATGTGTGTATATATATATATATAGTATAATTTAAAAAGTAAATGTAACAGATATGTGTGCACATACAGGAAAAAAATTAAAAGCTAAAGCCACATGCTGGTGGCTCATGCTTATAATCCTAATTGCTCAGGAGGCTGAGATCTGAGGTCCATGGTTCAAAGCCATCATGGTCAGGAAATTTTTTGAGACTCTACAATAAACTTTCAAAATGTTGGAAGTGGGATTGTGGCTCGAGTGGCTCAAGTTCAGGGCTAGCTCCTGAGGGCGAGAGTCAGCCTGGCCCAAACGCCCGAGACTCTTACCTCCAGGAAACCAGCAAAAAGCCCAAAGTGGAGCTGTGGTTCAAGCGCTTGGGCCCCAGCCTTGAGCGAGAAAGCCAAGCGAGAGCACGGCCCCGGGGTTGAGGCTCCAGTGCAGAAAGAGGCCATTGCTTAATTACTGGGACTGCGAACCGCAAGCCTTCCTAGCTTCGCGTGCATACTACGCATGCGCAGCGCGCAGAGCCTCTGCTAACTGCGCTGGCGCCCCCTGGCGCTCTGTTAGTCCCGCGCGGGATGCTGAAGCCACGGCCGGCGACTGCCAGGCCGGAAGCCCCGCCTCCGCCTGGCCTCGCCCCTTCCGTTTCACTTCCGCCCTCTCCGCCCAGCCCTGCAGGCCGGAAGCGCGGTGGTCCATTCAGGTCCTTTTCTGCTCCGAAAGCCGAGTGCCGCGGAGATGCCGGTGAGGACTCGGGCCAGGGATGCGGGCGGAGGCGGCGGGGCCCGGGGTGGGGCGGGGGGCGCGCGCGCGCAGGCGGAAGAGGGCCGAGGCCGCAGAGGGAGCGGCGGCCTGGGGCGAGGGACCCGAGGGGGTCGGGGCGGCCCGGCGCCGGGCGGGGGCCGTGGCCCGGGCTGGGGAGGTGGGGGCGGCCGGCCGTTTTCTCCCCCTCCCCCGTGTCCCCCTGCCCAGACCCCCGGGACAGCTGGGCTCCCGGGGCCTCCCCGGAGCCCTGAGGGCGGAGACTAGGCGTTTGCGTTTGCAGCTCAAGCCCAGGGCCCAGCTTCCCCTTGCGCGGCCAGCGCTTCCCCTCCGCCCGGGCCCTGTCACACGCCGCCTCCGGGGCCCCGCCGCCCCTGCCGTCGGCCGCCCCGCGCCCGGTGCGCCCGGTGGGGGTCAGGGCGGCGGGGGCTCCGCCTCGCCTGCGGAAGAAGCGGTGGCTCGGTGGCCGACGGTGTGTGACGAACGCCGCTGAGCATCTGCCTGCCGAGCACACGGCAGAGGAGGCCTGTGTGCGCGCGCCCGCGCCCGCCGTGCCCGGCCTGGGGCTTGAACTCGGTCTGGCACTGTCTCTGTACGTCCCTTGCTCAAGGCTAGTCCTCTACCATTTTTTTTTTTTAATTGTGAAAATACCGTACAGAGGGGTTACACACGAGCAAGGTAATGAGTGCATTGCGTATCACGCATTGTTGCCTCCTCCTTTGTTTCCCCTTCCCATCTCTTCCCATCTCCCCCCTCCCCGCCCCCCCATTTGAGTCCCAACTCCACTTTGGGCTTTCTGGTGGTTTAATTGGAGATCGTAGCTTCACGGACTTTCCTGATAATGCTGGCTTTGAACCACCCTCCTTAGATCTCAGCTTCCTGAGTAGCTAGGATTACAAGCCTGAGCCACCGGTGTCCAGCTAAAGGCTATCCTTAGGGAGCTTAGATTCTATCTGGTGGCTGATGCCTGGAAGCCTAGCTACTCAGGAAGCTGAGATCTGAGGATAGCAGAAAGCAGCGGAGGCCAGTCAACGCAACGATTTCGTCTCCAAAATAAGCAGCAAAAAGGTGGATTGGGGGCTGGAAATGGGGCTTATTGGGAGAGTGCTTGCCTAGCATGCCTAGCCCTGCAGTTCCACATTAAACAGAAAAAGCTGGAAGTGGCACTGTGGATCAAATGGTAGAGTGCTAGCCTGAGCAAAATAAGCTCAGGGACAGTGCCCAGGCCCTGAGTTCAAGACCGAGGACTGGTTAAAAAAAGGGGGGGGGGCTGGGAACGTGGCTCAGTGGTAGAGCGCTTGCCTTGCATGCATGAGGCCCTGGGTTCGATTCCTCCGCACCACACAAGCAAACAGAAAAAAGCCGGAAGTGGTGCTGTGGCTCAAGTGGTAGAGCACTCGCCTTGAGCTGAAGAGCTGAGGGACAGCGCCCAGGCCCAGAGTTCAGGCCCCACGACCGGACCCCCCTCCCCCCCCCAAAAAAAATAGCCAGGCACCAGTGGCTCACCCTATAATCCTAGCTGCTCAGGAGGCTGAGATCTGAGGATCATGGTTCAAAGCCAGTCTAGGCAGGAAAGTCCGTGAGACACTTATCTCCAATAAACCGGAAGTGGTGCTGTGGCTCAAGCGGTAGAGTGCTTGCCTTGAGCTGAAGAGCACAAGGACAGCACCCAAGCCTAGAGTTCAAGCCCTAAAACCGACCAAAAAAAAAAAAAAAAGAAATAGCAGTTGACATACAAATTGCTTTCGTAAATACGATGTTTCCCTTCATCTGGCTCGTGCCTAACCTACTGAAAGCAGTATATATCGCTACAGATTTGAAAACAAGCTAAGGGAAAAAGTGATGTCTTGGTTAAAGACATAAAGCCAGGAAGTGAAGAACTGAAAAGTTCATTCTTGGAATCTGATTGTAGCTTGAGGGGAGGTATCCTGACTCAGGTGATCTTTGCCTGTTTCTGTGGTGAAACCTCTTCCTTTCCCCACCCCCCGCTAGATGTGGGTTTGGAAGCAATGACTTCTCCCTTCCCACTAGAGAAGGGAGAAGTAAAGATAGAAAACACATAAATAATCTTAAGGCAAGGTGTTGTGCCTCATGACTTTAATCCTAGCTATTCCACAGAGGCTAAGAGCTAAAGGATTACAATCCAAGGCCACCCTAGACAGAAAGTGCAATAGACTCCAAAATAACAAAAAGCAGAGCTGGAGGTATGGCTCAAATGGTAGAACACCAACCAAATGAACAAGCAAGCAAGCTGAGCAAGAGCAAGGCCTTGAGTTCTAACCCCACTACCAAAAACCCCCCAAAAAACATAAAACAAATATTAACTTTAAGAATCTAGTAAAAAATAAAATACAGGTGCCAGTGGCTCATGCTTGTAATTGTAAAAAAAATACAGTTTTGAAAAATTGAGAAGTGGTCAGTATTTTTTATTTATTTTTTGTTGATTGTGAGACTTGAACTCAGGGTCTGGGTGCTGTTCCTGAGCGCTTCTGCTCAAGCCTAGTGCTCCACTTCCAGTTTTCTGGTGATCAGTTGGAGATAAGAGTCTCACAGGGACTTTTCAGCCCAGTCTGGTTTGGAACTGTGATCCTCAGTCCTCAGCTTCCTGAGTAGTTAGTATTATGGGTATGAGCCACCAGTGCCTGGTGGACTTATCTTTATTTTTATTTATTTTTTAATTTTTTTGTCAGTGGTGGGGCTTGAACTCTGGGCCTGGGCGCTGTCCCTCAGCTCTTCAGCTCAAGGCCAGTGTTATACCACTTGAGCCACAGTCCCACTTCTGGCTTTCTGGTGGTGGAGATAAGAGTCTTTCAGACTTTTGAAATGAGATCCTCTGATCTCAGCTTCTTGAGTAGCTAGGATTACAGCTTTGAGCCACAGTGCCACTTTTGGCTTTTTCTGTTCATGCAGTGCTGAAGAATCGAACCCAGAGCCTCATGCATACAAGGCAAGCACTCTACCACTGAGCCTACTTCCCAGCCCCATAATTTAAAATTTTGATACTGGACATGTTTAATAACCAGATTGCAAAATCCAAATTTAACTGTTGAGTTTGTGTGTGTGTGTGTGTGTGTGTGTGTGTGTGTGTGTGTGTGTGAGAGAGAGAGAGAGAGAGAGAGAGAGAGAGAGAGAGAGAGGGAGAGGGAGGAAAGGAGGGAGGGAGGGAGGGGTGGATACTTAAGTTTGAACTAAAGACCTCACATTGTTAGGCTCTGGATCATGATCCTCCTATTTCTGCTGGGATGGCAAGTATAAGCTGTCATGCTCAGCTGTTGGTTGAGATGAGGTCTTGATAACTTTTTGCTCTGGCTGACCTCCAGTTGCAATCCTCCTAATCTCCACTTCCTGAGTGGCTGGGATTACAGGGATGAGCTACTGCTTCTGGCCAGTCATTGGTTTTTGTGATCTCTTAATAGCCAGGTCTTCTGGATCACTGTGACCTCCCTTTCCCCCTCCCCTTCCTCTAGCTAATCTTGGGCAAGTTGCTTTTTTTTTTTTTTTCTTTTGGGGGAACGCTGTGTAGTTGTGTGACACAGTGATACCTACTGTCTCTCTTCTGCTTCTGCTCTTTCTGGCTTGCCCACAGGCCTACCATTCTTCTCTCATGGACCCAGACACCAAGCTCATTGGCAACATGGCGCTGCTGCCTATCCGAAGTCAGTTCAAAGGACCTGCCCCTCGTGAGAGTAAGTACGAGCCAGT